GTTGCAATACACTATAGTGGGTTGACAGTTGCAAACAAGATAGAAAGTAAAAGGGAGTAATTCATACCTAATTTTGCAAAAAGTGATGCAAGATGTTTTGGATTTGGTATATTTTATTTTATTTTATTTTATTTTCTAAGAAGGATTACTTGCTACTTTGACATGGAATGTACCAGAATCTGCTGTGAGGAACAAAAGATTCTGAATGGAGCTAGTGCAGAGCACTATGCTCTGGAAAATTAATAGTCAATTACTTCATACTTCAGCATTTGGATTCCACCTAATCCAACGTTGATTAATCCTAATATATACTGTTAATTTTCCTCTCAGCCCCGACACAGAGCAAAGTGAATATTTTTTGCTGAACAGACCCTGGCAAGAATGATAAAGCAAAACAAGAAATATGGCAAGACTAGAACCTGGGCTCATTTGAGTTTTTCTTCAGGAAACAAAAGTTTACAGAAATGATGAAAATCATATTGTAAAATGTGCTTTTTTTCCTCTTTCAGAATCTCAAGGATGACCAAGTAGACTTACTATATAAAAGCCATACCACTAATAGTTAAGATATGATGTACAGTAACTAATATGCTGTCACCCAATCTAAGCAGAAAAAGTGGGGTATGCAATGTATCATAAACTCAAATACAGGCACCCTGTTTTTATTCATAACACATAGTTAGCTGGTGGATTTTGAAATTCAAAGATACAAGAACAGAAATATAAGCACATACCAAATGAAAATACTAAATACTAAATTTATACCAATTTGTGCTTTAGAAAGAAGATCAGATATATTATTGAGATAATTACTAGTCATAAATATTTAAATCTGACATTAGTTATTACTTAAGAATACAAATTCTTGGTGGAAAGATGGAGTATAATATTCTCTAGGACTGGATGCAGAATATCAGAAATAGTGCTTTTGCATTCAAAAACTGAATGTCTGTTTCAATGGACATTTAAATGCTTAGTTTGCGGACATGGATTTCTAAATTTTATGGTTTGATTCAGCAGATATTTTTAAGTAATGATTCTCCCAAGTAATGATTGATTACCTTTAGCACAATAAATTACAGCTATTTTGATCCAGGACATGCCTCTAAATGTTATCTGAAATTATAATACAGAATAGGACTGCAATGTTGTTGCTTTACCACCAAATAAGCCACAAAGACCCTTTTGTACCCAGGAACCTCTCTTATTTTTAAAAATGAAACTCTGCAGATGTATAAACATTCCATACCACCCTTGCCAGATTCTACTTCTTGACAAAAGTCCAAGTTACAAGAAAATAGCACTTCTCAAGAGAGAAATCATACTGACGCTTTCTTTATATTTTATTTTAATTTTGCTGAGCTGCCTCAGCTAAAGCTTGCCAGTAAGGGTCAGTTCATATTGGTTATATATTTAAGTTACTTTCCCAAACTTCACTACAGCAGACTTATGAATAACCCTTTATGATAAGACACAAATCCCTTTGGTGTGAAGCTGAAACTTGGCTAACCGTAGAAAAATGTCTACCACATCGTGGAAGTTAAACACTACAACAAATTGTCAAAAGAATCAGAAGCAACATATATTACTTACAAAACATTACAGGACAGTAATTATGATTCATGTCCATAGGAGGGAATCAATACATTCATATTTTTTTCTATATCTATATTGTTAGTTGGGAGTAGTCAATATTTTTGGCTATGTTCTGCAAAGGTAAGAGAAATCGTTTTTAGGTTGTTGAACAACCTTCCTAAACTTACATCCTTCTGTGTATCTGGGGGATGGTAAGAATTCAAACACATTTGGCTGACTGGCTGGCTATGAATATGAATAGAATTCAGGAATTTCTCTGACAGAATTGTGTTTTCATTGATCGCTTATTAATTTCTGATTCAATTTAAGACACTGATGTATCTTTTTCTCATATCTAAATATTTAGCACATCATTTATGATAGTATTTGGAATCTTTCTACCAGATGATACAAAAAATTTTCTCACTCCTGATAACCCTGGCATTTCCAGTTAGAACTGAGGATCTGGTTCTTTAAAAAAAGGAAACATAACGAGCAATTATTTTGGCTATTAAACATTGAAGTTTGTTTTAAAAGTTGTTCTCTCCATTGGTTTTTAAGATGTGCAATAGTATTTAATTTTACTTTGTTTTTTTAAATATTTGTTATAAACTACAATGAGCTCCTTACAGAGATACTTTTTTCCTTTCAGAAAGCAAAATAAATAATTTTAGCTCAATACTGAGGCCATAATCATTTTGATGAAATATTAATAAACTCTGTTTTATTCAAAACAAAAACACAAAGAGACATCTGTATGCATTTTTTCAGAAGTCCTTTGAGTTCAGTGGGTTTACCTTCAAGTATAATTATATTGTAATTGAACTGCTTTTTCATTTTGAAAATTGTGAACCAATGAGAAGCAAACTGAATATTTTGTATCTATGTTAGTCACTAATCAACAGATTTTATTATGCTTTTTTCTATCCTGAGTTGTATTTCTTGAAGAACTATAAACAACTACTGTTCCAGTTCTTTATTCCAATTTATATTATTCAAATTCCTGCCCTTTTCCTAAAACCACTGGGGGGAGAGACGTAATGTACAGTTAGAAAAGTATACATAGCATTGCTTCTTAGCTTTCTTTTAAGAGTTAGATTTTGATGTTGGCAGAAAAATATTTAATTCATTGAGATGAGTTGGAATATATTGAGCAAGTAAAATGATCACAGATCAGCACAGATTCATGACACCATTGGATTAAAATGTTGCCAGATACAGCAGTTTGTCTGGATATGTCTCACAAGCAAACAGTCTGTTACCAAAACAAAACATTGATGGAAACCATTGCTTCTTCCCAGAGAAGATAGAGAGGAAAAAGACAAGTAAAAATTGATTTCATTATAAATAGGTTTTGCATTTTATACCAGAATAACTGGAATATTTTTTTATAATCGTTTCTTTAGCTTTTTTTGCAATAAGCACACTTATTAAAATTTTTTGCACCTTTTGAGTGTCTGTTTATCTGTTTTTCAGCTTAGCTTTCTGGAAGAAACAAGACCGTCTATTTGCATCTTCTGCAATGAAATTATAAATGAGTGCAGTATTTTTGCACTAATATATTAACATTAGTTACAAGAATGTCTGAGGAATTAAAATATCCTGATTAATAGTGCAAACCAAATAGAGGGAATAACTCAGAGGGGCAAATCACCCACTACTTTAGAATCTTGATTTGCCCCACTCCCATTTTGCCATTCAGTATCTTTTCTTCTTTTATTTTGCCCAACTTGTTCAAGACTGAGAAAATATTTATGCAAGTTACTGAAGTAACTAATGAACCCAAGACCTCCTTCTGTCTCATCAATCTTGAAGCAAGACAATAGCAAGCCTGTCCACACTAAACCTCCCAAAGAATAGGTAAGACTTGTGCTCAAGGTTATAAATTCAAGAAGAAAGAATATAAAGAACTCAATGATTCTCCCTAAGGGCAGTGGAGAACAAAGAGATCTATAGTATGACCCTGGGGAATGGGGCAGGGGAAGGTCTAAAGGGCATTCTTTGTGGTTTGAGTTAAAGCTAGGTAACTGAGTGAGCATTCCAATAACCAGAACTTTGGAGAGGCTTAGAACCAAAAAAATAAACATGCATGAGTAGATTGTACTCTTACAAGTTTCTGGTGGACATTCAACCATATTTCCTGCTACAGTTGCAGACTAAATGGTGTTTATTTGTTTGTTTGCTTGTTTGTTTATTTGTTAGACTTTTATGCAGCCCATTTTGCCAAGGCAATATTTAAATGGTATCCTCATGAGTTGCTAAAGGTAATTTAAAAGGCAGGAAGTTATCTGCATTTATTGATTGCTGCACCTGTCTTTACTGTATCAACAGAGGTTAAGATCATCCATCTACTTTAATTACTCAGTTTAAATAATTACATTCTAACCATTATCCTTTCAACTATTTGGGGACATGATATTCTGGATTGCTCCAGGTTTCCCTCCTCTCCTATCTTTGCCAGAACAAAATGGATTCTTAAGTCAACATGGCATCATAATACTAATAAAGATGCACTACAGATTTATAGAAACATGCTTAAACAAAGCTTTTTTATAGCATTGCTTTTTGCTTAGCACTTTAACTACTAAAGTTTTACACCAGTTTTCCTTGTCTAGAAAGTTTAACTCTGGATTGTGTTTATATGAAGCTGTAAAAAGAAGTAATGTTACTTATAAGAGATTTGGTGATTTTAAACAGATATTTAAAATTAAAGAAAAATTCATTATCAAGAAGATTGAAGAAATAAGATTAGGCAAATATCCAAAGAAATAGTAGCTATGGTGTTCATTTATTATTTAGGAATATGTCACTTGTATTCAGACAGTCTTTTAAGGAGTTTTATTATTGTTGAAATCTAGCCATAAGGAACATAAACATGACCAGTCTGTGTTTCAGCATAAACCTTTTAATGTACTGAATTAATGAGTATCATGTTGGTTTACTGCCACCAAGCGACCAAAAATGTGAAGCACTGAAGTTTTGCTTTGTTTTTTGAACCATAAGGTGGGCAGGAATTGAGAGTTATTCCCACCCTTCTAAAAAGCATCAAATTGAGGAAGCTGTTTTACATTTGTTGAGATTAGTGGCCTGATAAATGATTCATATGGAAGATGTTATTACTGTGTAGCCAATCCCAGAAACCAGTATTTGCATTTTCAATATCATTAGGCCTGAATTATACAATATTTCCTTATTTCAACTGAAACTGAAATTTTGGGCAGAACTGATACCAAGGATGATGCGGTCTGAAATTTTGTGGGATTCTAGAGAGAGCTGATGGTTGGTAAATAAGAAAGTTGAATATCCCTCTGCTGATTTAATATCTCCTCTTCCTATCTCCAATGCAGCCTTTTGAATCTCAACGGCACAATATCAAATTGACTGGACTACAACTGGGAGCAAATGAATAACATTTAACAACTTACCTTTTTCCATAATTGATTATGATATGCAGATGCAAAACAAGCTAAAGAGGTTTTTGATGCTTGCTGTACTTTCTGTAGCCAACAAATATATATTTTAGAACACATCTTAGAATTAACAATTTAAAAAAATCATTCTATTCTCTGAAAATTATTTCTAATTGCAACAATTTTATTTAAAATATCATACATATCATGTTGCCATCCTTTGTGGCAAAGCAATAAGCATGCTCTCTATTTATTTTCACTATTCTGCTGATACGTCATGGAGGAGGGAGTAATTGTATCAAGATTAGTGATGAGTTACATAGTTGAGTACTGGGAATTGTACTGCAATGATCCTGGGCATGGCACAAAGGCAACACAGTCAGATAATCAGTAGGAATCCCTTTATTAGCTGCAACTTTGCCCCCAATGTCCTGGTTACCTTCAGCTGGAGAAAAACTCTCCCAGGAACAGCCTTTGGATGAGATAATTAGTCTGGCAGGGCAAGAGAAGGAATTCCAGACTTGAAGGAACGATAGTAATTCAACACGGTTGGGAGGATGCCAGGAACACAGATAGCCAAAGTCAACACAAGATAAACTCATGTTTGTTCACAGCAGATGCCGCACTCAGCAAGCATCTCTTTTAAACTCGCTTCCCAGGTGTGGCTAATGAAGGGAATCAGGGCCCTTTCCTCCCACATAAGCCACACAACTCATCATGCTCCCTTCTCTGTTCCTCCCTGCATGCCCTAGGATGAAGAAGGGGTGGGCCTGAGTCTTCCTTTGAACTCCTTCTCCCTTGTTCTACCTCTCCCCTGCTCTGCCCAGCCAGACTTTGCCCTTCCCCAGTTTCCTCCACAGCCAATGGAGCCACACTCCCACTCCCTGTCAGCTGTTCATCTTCCTCCTTGGATTCAGACTCCAACAGGGGCATGACATGTACAGAAACTGGGACTTTTCTGTGACTAAACAAATAGTCTATCAAGTAGACTACAATAGTGGTAATACTACAATGTCTAATAAAGACTCTGCATTGCAAATGCAAATAACATGTCAAATTTGAAAAAGAAGCCATAAATCCAGTTAACAAATGAAAATGTGTTTTCCAAAGCTAAATGTGGATTGGAAACACCAATTTTAAAATTCTATGCACAAGATAGTTTTTTAAAAAAATTAAGATCTAGGGCAGATCCTGGCATACTGGAAGAAAGGAACAATTTTTCAAAACTTCCATATATGTATATTTTTTGCCTTGTGATTATTTAGTATTTACCTACTAAGGTAAATTTCATTAAATTGATACCTGCTGAGAATTATTTCCCAAAGCCTGAGCAGGGTTAAGCTATTTTTAAAAAATATTTGTTGATAAAATTACCATTTGATTAAGCCATTAAAATTAGATTCATACTAACACATACATAAGGTAGAATTTATGCTTTCAATCATTCAATTTTGTGTGGGTGTATACATCAAGTGGCATAAATATATAAACAAATAATGGGTATAAATCTCATTAGACTGCCAGAGCTGAAATTCTGTCTTAATTCTAATGTTTAATTCTCATTTTTCAAAGAATTACCATTATTAGGGATGTCTTGCACTTATTAGAGATATTATAGGTTATGTGAGCTCTGCTTTCTTGATCTATAACTTAAGCTATAACTATGTTTTGAAACTATAATACAGTAATGGAATTCACAAACTATACTAGAACAAAATACTGTGATTTACATAAGGAGTTAACTGAAATGTGAGTAGGCACTGTATAGGACAGTGGGAGGTTGCAGGTGTTTCTAAAAGGCAGAAGAAAATGGGATTACAGATTACACTAAGCCGTAACATGGTTTCACTTTATTTATTACATGTATCATTTTGCCATATACTAAGGTAGCTCAAAGACTGTCAATAAAACATTAAAATTAATAAATAAATTAGCATGTAACATAAGATTAACCACTATAATTTGTAAAATATTATTTATGATTTAAGGGGAATTCAACTGTGACTTATTCAACAAACTATAGTTAAACTATATTAGCATATCTATAATCCACCAGAGTATGGTTTGTCTTTAATCCTAGTCGTAAACATTCTTCCTTATAGTCTTTCAGGAAAAGCTGTAATCATTCTATAAGATTATTCACATAATTGCCTTTAGAAAGAGAACATGTATAACTAATTTTGAGTTGAATTATCTACATGTTGTTTATAAGATAGTTTTAAAACTGTGATGACTAAACCTTACACTGATATAGAAGGCATTTCCAACTACTTTCTCATAGCAATAGATTAGGATTGCAAAGAAAAACAAATAATCTGTTTTCAAGAATTTATTTCACTTCAATTAGCTATTGAGCTAACCAATTTAAATTGCTCAAAAGAACTGGTTTCTGCAGCAGTCAGTGCCTAACAGAGTAATTTTATTGAATTGACTTTCTAATTAACTAACTTTAAGATGAAGCACCTGTTTAAGCTATGTGCTGTAACCACATATGACCACAAGAAGGAACTCCAAATCCAGATATTTTATGTTAAAGCAAACATTACTGAGAAAAAAGAGAGCAAAGGAACTATAAACCCAAAATATAACAAAATTGCAGAGCATAATAACCAATTATAATCTTATCAACACAAGTAGCATATCTTGAATATGATTTTAGTGTGTGTATGTTTTGCTACAGAATTTTATTTGAAAAGAAGGTGGTATGTGAACTGATTTTAATTTTGATGAAACAGTTTAATATGCAAGTTGCAAAACACTATCTTTAGCACACCAGATTTTCTACCTCCAGGATAATAATCTAAAAAGAGATTGAGGAGCTAGAGATGAAATACCCGTTCCTTTGCTTTTCATATTACTTGACTGAAATTGAAATTTGGAACAATTAAAGATGATATCACTTTTCTTAAAATATCAGCAATCAACATTTCTGAAGAGTGAATTAGGCCAGGCTGTAGTGCTAGTCTTTCTCTCTTAAAGTTGTATTTCTCTATCAAACATGTTGTTAATAAAAAGTAGTATTTCTATTATTATTATTATAATTCAGACAAGCCAAACTCCTTTGGCTCAACTCATAGTGATGACATGAACATAGCAATGTTGTTGTTGTTTTGGGCAACTGTATGACATTGGTTATCTTTGCCTGATTCTGGATCTTCTTCTTTTTTAATTTCCCTTCTTCATTTACAATACCACAATTTGCAGGAAGTAAAAAGCATGATCATATCTCACTATTTGTAACTGGAAACTGACCATGACTTTACCACACATACAAATGATTGGCTATGACACATTACTAAAGTATAGTTATAATTTCCAAGAGAACTATCATCTGTTTTCATGGGACATTACTCTGGTAGCATATATAAAGGAGAAATACTTCCAATGTAGGCAAAGTTCCCACTACCACCACCAATAAGGAAAGCCCCAGAGACATACTTAGTTTCCAGGATAGCTTCAGATAGATTTGTAATACTGTAGTTAGTATTGGGACTCACTAGTGCCAGAAAATCAGCTCAAAGTTTCAAAGCATTACTCAAAATTCACAACTATCATAAAGATTGCGACCTGGATGTAAAAGGATTACTCTGCTAATGACCAGTCCAGGAAGTTACCAGGAGTCAATGCTGACTTGCAGGCATTACAAAAACACAGTAAAAAACAAAAGCCAAACTAAAAGATAGCATCTCTCAAGGAAAGAATCACCAATTTTCTCCCAACCCCAGGAGATAAAAACAGAACCTCCCAATGGGAATTTCCTCTTCCCTGATGATAGAGAAAATACTTTCAGACTTGCAACACTTGTCCCAGCAGTAATGCAGACAGGTAGCACACTGGGATGAATTAATTGCATCTTTATGGTAAAGTTGCATTAACAGAATCTGTTATGTCTAAAAGTACATTTCTCATCCTTCACCCTTTGTCCAAAATATTAGGAGGGCTCCCATATTTGCTGCTGCCAGCTAAGCTGCAGTAAGAAATAGCAACTAGCAGCATTAGAAAAAAGATCTTTATTGGCCTTCTTTGATAAAGTGACTAAATTAGTAGAACAAGGATATGCTGCGGATGTACTGTAGTATACTTAGACTTCAATATGGCATTTGATAAAGTAGACCGCAGACAGAACAATGTAGAATGCACAGTACCAAGACCAGACAGATTTGCAGTTGGCTGACTAACTGCACTCTGTGTATGATCCTTAGTGGAACTACATGTTGTGATTGGAAGGATCGGTCCTGTTGGGAGTTTTGACTCTGATGACTGTTAGATCGTGGATTGACGTCAGAACCAGGAAACGTTAATCTGAAGGGCAAGCCAGTTAATTAGCACGTTGCCTTAATGGGTATAAAAGGACACAGCTGAGCTGGTGCATTTCGCCAGGAACAAAATGACTATTTTGAATGAGGATGTTACAGCAAAGAGCTCTCTGTTTGTTTGAATTTCGAAGGAGAGTCCTAACAGTTTCTGCCAGTTGTTATCTTGTTATTTCCTTCAGTTTGATTTGATTGTGAAACGGCTGCTTTATGTTTGTTCGTTTGAATTTCCAAGAGGAGACATAACACTACATATACATAAAGGGAAGCATGCAAAAGAATATTTCAAGGTTCTGTCTTGGACCAACAGTTCTTCAACATCTGCCTAATTAGCAATAGCACTTACACTTATATAACCCTTTATAGTGCTTTACAGCCCTCTCTAAGCTGACTGGTTTAGACAGTCAGCATATTGCCAACAATTTGGGTCTTCATTTTACCCACCTTGGAAGGACGGAAGGCTGAGTCAACCTTGAGCTTGGTGAGACTTGATATGCCAAATTGCAGGCAGACGGCTGTCAGCAGAGGTAGCCTGCAGTACTGCACTCTAACCAGTGTGCCACCAAGCCTTTTTGACCTAGATGAGGGGGACTGAAGGGGCATTTAAATTTACACGTCACCAAACTGGGGAGAATTGCTAACACTTGGAAAATAAATTCATGATTCAGAAGGATCTGGACAACTTAAGCTCTAAGCCTTATTAAATTATGATGCAAAGCCACAATGCAATCCATGCAACACTTTCATCCTTCCGCTGCGGCTCCCTGTGGCCCTGTAGTGGCAGAGGGATAAACGAGCTGTCCCCCTGTTGTGGCAGTGGCGATGGCCGGGGCCTTAGTGTGGGAGCAAAGTGCCTCAAACTTGCTTTGCATGGCAACAGGATTCCACCTTCATCGTGGAATTTGCTGTTGCCGCCAGCAGAGGACTGGGAGAGAATGGTGGGAGCAATTCTCCCCCAAGCCTGGCCTTCCTCCTCTCATTGAGGGGCCAAGAGAAAGAAGAGGGCATCATGGGAAGAAATGATGATTGCTTGGGGGAAAAATTTTGGATATGGGATTGATCTAGAGAAATGGCAAAAATTGTGGTCACAAAATTATGAAACAACAATGTCAACTGCTTATAAAGAAAATTTGTGTAAGATGTTTTACAGGTGGCATCTACGAGAATTGCAAGAATGTTTAAGAACAAATCAGATAAATATTGGAAATGTCATCAGATACCAGGTTCATATTACCATATGTGGTGGACATGTCTGGATGCAAAAAGATATTGGACTAAAATCCACACGTGGTTGGAAAAAATGATAAAACAACACATAGACTTTAAACCAGAGATACTTTTATTGGGAATTATACAGGAAATATACAATAAAGAATTGAAATATTTGATTGTAAATGTTTTAACAGCGGCTAGAATTGTATTTGCTAAGAATTGGAAAAATGAAAAAATACCTATGGAGGAGGATGTTATTAAGAAAATTATGGACTGTGCTGAAATGAGTAAATTGACATTTGAAATTAGAGAAGAAGATAAACAATTTTATATGACAAGGGACTTATTTTATCAATGGTTAGATAAAAAGACATGGTAATGAAATAGACTAGGAAGTTTTGTAATAGAAGATTAATATATAGAGAATATAATACAAAATATATGACCATTGGATGAATGTATAATATAAATTTATAATAAAATTTGGAATATTTTGTATGAAATGATGGAATAATAGTTTAGACAAATGAATGATTAATAACTGATAGATATATAAGCATTTGTTAGATTGACAATTTGAGAACCTTTACAACTTGTGAGTAAGGACTATGAAAGGATAGCACAAAAGATTTGTAACCAACTGACACACTGTATGTATATAATTGAAAGATGGTTTTATGTTTTTGTCTGTATGTGTTTGTCTTAAATTTTTTTTAAAAAATATGAAAAACAAAAGAGGGCAGCATGGGGAAACACTCACCTCCCCACCGAGCACCAAGCACAAAAGCCCAGTGGGGGGAGGCTGGTCAAGAATTGCCCACACTGGCGAGTCAGAGGATTGAGAGGCCTGGCCCAGCTCTCATAGCGAGATACTGTTCAGCACCTCCAGATGTGAGCTGCTGCCTTTGAAACGTGGCACGCCTTTGAGGAAGCCTGGTAGCGATGGCTGGGGTGGGAGGGCAGTAGAGGTGTCGCGGCTGCTCCTCCCCCTTCTTAGCAATCCGGGCCTGGAGGAGCAGAGAGTTGCGGGCTGAACACTGGAGTATTGGGCCGAACACTGGACGGCACCCCAACATGCGTTTCCAGCACACGCTACTCAGCCCCGAAGTGGGGTTGAGTGCGGGGGTAGGAGGAAGGGGATAGGGAGAAGGGTAGGGGGCTTCTAGGAGGAGAAGCCTGGATGGCTTTCCTTTTGGTGTGGGGAAGACCCAATAAAAATCCAATTTCCCCCAATCAATGGAAAAAATAAAGGTCCAGTGGTCCAGAGTCCAAAAAGGGGGGTGGGTTCTGTTCATCAGTGAATCAGAGATGAAATCAGTTGAAATCTGGGTAGCAGACTATTCAGAGAGGGATCTGCCTGGGTCTCTTCTTCCTCCTGCTTAGATTCCCTCCCTCCCAGCTTTCTTCTCTAGCCTCGTTTTAAGGAGAGGGGGAAGCATGGTGGGAAAATAGTAGCTAAAAGGCTGCAAGGGGGGTTAGGGCTGGGTTTATTAAAGACGGGGATGGGGAAAAGTTGCCATTCATTTCTCAAGGACCCAGGGAAAGTGGAATAAATCTCTCTCTCTCTCTTTCTCTCTCTTTCTTTCTCTAATAGCCCAAGATAGCTTCAGCCCAAATAACTGCTGTTATTTTTGCCTAGAGCTTCTAAGCTATGCAGCATTCTTTAATAAATATTAACAATAACGAACCACTATATACAGGATTAAAAGAAGGAAGGTGAAATCAGAAGAGGGGAAGGAAGGAAGGGTGAAATCAAAGGAGAAGGGAGGGAGGGAAGGAGGGAGGAGGATGTGATGGCCCTCCAGAAGCAACTGCACTACATTCTCATCATTCCTGAGTTGTGCTGATAAAGATGTCCAGTGCCACCAGGGAAAAGTTGTGAAAGAATGATTGAAATTCCTCACAAACCCTCATTATTCGGGATAAATTGCCATGTTGGCACCTTGTGATAAATAAGTGGGTTTTGGATTGCAGTTTGGGCACTCGGCCCCTAAAAGGTTCGCCATCACTGACCTAGCTCAACAGTAACATGTTATCTGAGATCTAGGTGTCCTAGTGGACTACCACTTAAGTATGAGCCAATACTGTGCTGCAGCTGCCAAAAATATCCAGCATAATCCTAGACTGCATCAACAGAGGGATAACATCAAGATCACAAGAAGGGATACTACTGCTCTGTATTTCACTAGTGAGGAATTTTGCATCCAGTTCTAGTCACCACGATACAAAAATCAATAGGACCGTCCCTGTCCTATTGTTTCTTTTATTTTTCTTATATGTATCCATGTATTCATAACTATGTTTATACTTATACCTATTATCTTGTAAGCAATTGACAAATCAAAATAATTTTTTTAAAAAAGATGTTGAGACCCTAGAAAGAGTGCAGAGAACAACAACAAAGAGATCTGCAGGTTAATTTATATGGTGAATGTCTAAGGACAATAGTATGTTTATCGTAACAAAGAGAAGGCTTAGAAGGGACATGATAGCTGTCTTTTAATACTTGAAGTCATGCGTGGAGGAGGGGAGATTGATTTAATCCCCAAAGATCAGAGGACAGGACAAGAAGTAATGGGTGGAAGCCAGTCACAGGAAGACCCAACATGGAACCAGAGAAGAAACTTCACGAAAGTGAGAACAATTAATCAGTAGAATTGCTTGCCTCCAGAAGTTGTAGGGCTTTATTGCTGGAGATTTTCAAGAAAAAATTGGATAACCATTTGTCCATGATGAAATAAAGACCCTGTTTTGTAGAGGGATTAGACTAGCAGACCTTCAAGGTCCCTTTCAGCCCTATGATTGTAAAAGACTGACATCCAACTGGAGCAATGCGCCTTACCTCTACAATGATTGTGTGAAAGCTTTAAGTTAGTAAACATAAATATACTGTACATTACAAATGAGTCAGAGATAACAATATTTGGCTGTGTTTCCCTTCCTTGAAACAAACACTTTTCAGAGGTCAGGTAGCAAAATTGACACTGCTCCTTTTACAGCAGCCTGCAAATTCTTCTAGAGCAGACTGTACAGATCAAACGGATTAAATCTTCTTGGGCTGCAAATATCTGATATAAAGCCAACAGGAAGAACTACTGAAAAACTACTGTTTTTCTTCCAGCTAAACCACAAACTCACCTCTTATGGCTAATGATGGACTCGACCTGGGTCTCCTCGCTGCCAGATTTAATTTTTAGCCACTATACCTCATTTTCCTATATGATATCCTTTCCAGTGTGTGCTAATATGTCCATGGCTCAATTCCCGGTGCTCCTGCACCAGTTCAAGAACAGAGCAGGTGGGAGGGAGGCAAAAGGCAGGGAAAATCACAGCAACGGTGTTTTATTTGTTTTTTGTTTGCCCTTTCCTGAGTTTTGCCTTTTTCAAGACTATTTTCCTCTAGCTGTATCGGGTGACAACTTCCAGGAATACTGAGAGTTGTAATTCAAGCCTTTCGAAAGCTGCCCGGGGGAGGCGGCTACAACTACAACTTAAATTATTGTTCTAGTGCACTCGGGTGCGCAGGCACACTGAACCGAGGTGGCTCTTGATCTTGCACCTTCTTTACACCCCAGAAAATCTACCCGAGTTCACAGGGAAAGAGGGCTAGAAGAAGCCACCCAAGGAAGGTGGCCATAAGCGGCAGGGAATTCCCAATTTTCCCGGCCTTCGAAAGGCAAGAGCACATGCCTGTCACAAGGCAAGTCTGCCGAAACGAAAGCTGGCCCGGAAGGTTGAGTGGGAAAGAAGTAGATCTGGGGCACCGCAAAGCGATCCCAACCAGCCGAGGGACCACAGCCGACGCTCCTGCTGCCATATAAATGGCCGGCGAGGGCTACCTGCTGCTGGGCCCCTAGCGGCGAGTGAAGTTTCTGCCTCTCGGCAAGTTCCTGGTGCAAAACAGAGGCGCTGCGGAAGCAGGGTCGGGCCAGCTCCATGGCCTTCATTCGGAAGAGACGGCAGGAGCAGGAGCTCTACTCCAAAGAGAGGTGGGTGAAACGCCCTGGGTAGAGCCGAGCATTCCTCCGAAGGAAAGGCTGCGGCAATGCCAGCGAACGAGCAAACGCTCAGGAGTTGGGCCGCTCTGCCCGCGGAAGCGTCTCTCTTGTTGGGGAAATGCGCTGCGATCCAGAGAAAACCCAAAGAATTCCCGCTGCTCTCAAGCGGTTGCGGAATAGGGAGGGGAACCCGTCTCCAGCAGCCACCGGAATCAGTTTCTTGTTCATTGGGTGCAAAGAAGCAACAGAACCAGGAACGATGGGGGGGGGGGCATGGAAGAAGGGACTCCTAATCTTTGTGTGTGTGTGTGTGTACGCGTTGTTGTTGTTGTTGTTGCTTTTGCTTAAAACTAGCATATCATCAACCTTCCTTGCGCCGTCCCGGTGCGCCCTATTGCGAGTCATAGTCTTGCAATACGGAAGTGGCGTGGGGACTATTGTCTTGGGACACTGCGGTGTATGCGCCGTATTGTCCGTCCTTTTAAAGCTGCAGAGGCTCTAATTCTAAAATACGGCAATTGGGGCGTAGGGAGATTTACCATGAATTTCACGAGATGTTGAACATTCGTTTGACAAGAGTTGGAAGTAAAAATATGCTTCATGGTTTCTAGTGCTTTGGTGCAGCCAACAAGACTACTATTACCTACCTACCACATTGTGATAAAAATGCTCCTTTAATTAAACAAATTACGGTTTATCAAAGCAATTTGCTGGATTGTTCTGAAGGCGATAGCCCTTGGTGGATGTCTTAATTTAGTGGGTAGTACAGTTGAACCAATGAATAGAAAGCAGTATAACTGCAACTTTAGTTTGTATATATCAGTCTCTTCAGTTTTGTCCTGGAACTGATTTTGGAATAATGAAGAATTATGTATGAATATTCTCATTATTAACAGGAGGGCATTTCTATACACTTAAAATAAACCCTTCCAGACAGGAATTTTGGGACAGAGGCAAAGAAAACAAACATAAATTAACCACATACTGTAAATTCTGAGCAAGTTAGAAACCTTTTAAAACTAAATGCTTTTTAAAAATTTAATAATTTGGCTATCTACAGCTCATATTGATCCGAATTCTTGAAATTGGTAAAATTTCACAAACAAAAATATGTATCCATGAAGATTTAGATGCAATTAAAATAAGTTTACAAGAAGCATAAAAGTGGTTTCATTTGAAGATGATCCAAATTACATCATATTCCTCTTGGGAATATTTGTCATGTTTATTCAGTCACTACTTCTGGTTTGTTCTTACTGTTCTGCATTAAGGTAAAAAAGGCTAAATTAACTTAATACATTTTTATAAAATGGAAGTAGAGACAAAAACATACCAGGCCCAAATAGAAATTAGTAAGATTTATGCAGAAAATAAAATAAATCAGACTACCTTATATCTACTTTCTCTAACACCTATGAAAGGTAATGTGAAAATTTGCCTTATTTTTAACCCTAAAATTACACAAAATAGATTTATTCATCAATCACCATTATCCCAGATTAAAAATAAGGAAACTAAAGTTAAATCAGGTGCAAAGTAATTAAGCAGTGGACATTCCTAAGCAGTGAATATTACCTACAGATAATTCCCAATTTATGATTGCAATTGAGCCCAAAACTACAGTCATAAATCGTGGCACCCAGTGACCAGAGGTAATTTTCTGGCCTTTCCCACAGTGATTGTTAAATGAATGCCATGGACATTTACTGAACCACATTCGTTTGAATGGGTGGGTTTTTTTTGCCACAAACAGACCCCCCCCCCCAAAAAAAACCTCATAAATTTTGTTAATGTGTCAGCTTGGGCATTCATGGGGCAGAGATTGGAAGGGGTGCAAGTGAGAAAATATATCTCAAAATAATAGTACAAACACCAAAACCGATATATTAGTATCTGACTTGGAGACACAAGTACAAAAGGGCTGGATTTCCATCATGGTGTCACTGTGTGCATGGCAACAATTTTTGTGTGTTAGAAGAAAATTTTGATCCGTTCTGCAGCCAGGTAAATGAGTAGAGGACACCTATTTGAAGTGAAGGTGAAATTTAATTGAGAGCAGATCAAATACCATTATTCAACTCTCAAACGGGCCACAAAATCATAAGGGGTAGCACGTGCATGCGCAGATGTGCAGCACACGAGGGGGCATTGGGCAGGGGGCATTGGGCAGCACATATTGCCTTCTGGGTGCTGGCACATGAGCACGCGCAAGCAAGCAAGTGCACAATTATTGGCACGGAAGCCCAAAAAGGTTAGCCACCATTGACCTAGGTGATCAGGCCTATAACTGGGGGAAAAAGTCCCTTTGCAAGTTCTTTCCTTATTGTTCTGTGATGGCACATTTTCAGATGTTCTTCAGATTATTGTGGATATTCCAACCAGTAAATATAAGTTAGAATTTTAGTGCACAGTTTTTTAATATGTTAATTATTCATATACATTGTTTGAAGGTTAGGCTTTAAAGGCATGAAATCTTACGCTCTGGTAAATCTGTTAATTCACCAACTCTCTTTGGAAGAGGGTTGCTATATCCATTACAAACCAGTATCCATGATGTGGTATTTGTGCAGATTTTTGAAATTTGGGCTTTCTTTTATGACAATCATCGATATTTAAAAAGGGAAGATTGAGTAGATTAGAAAGTTAGCATCAAACTACTTGGAAAAAATAATGGTTACTGCTGCACGATTAAAGCTGAACTCCAGCAATTTAATGTTTCAAGTTTCACTGGTGTTGTAGCCTAAGCATTACCACTCAGATCATCCTTAAATTAAGCACCAACACAAGTTCAAAAATGGTAGTCTTACTATGCTTTTGCTATTTTCTCTCTTTCATGGAGACTGAGTAAAAAGAAAGAAGCTGGGGAAAGTGTCCTATAACACATGACATTCAGGATCTACCTTGCCTGGGAAGGATCTTTGTGATGGGATCACACGTTAATATATTTTGTTTAAAAGAAATACATACTAATTACTATGTAGCATTGCAAATATTTATATTCACTATGTGAAATCATCTATGAAATCCTTTCTTAGTTATTCATAGGAACTGCACCCTTCAAAAAGAATGTAGACTTGTTTCTATTATTAATTGCATAAGAACAGAGCAGGACAGTAGAATAGAGGTCAATACTCCTTGAAGAATAAACTACTAGAAGAAATAAAATTTCTCAATTATCTTTTTGGCTGGGTCAGTAATTAACTGGACATTTTTTTTCTCTGCTTTATTATTGCTTGTTGATATTACAAAAATGTTTTTTTTTCCCTTAAAGGGATACTTTTAAAGTTTATGCATCTATTAAGAAGTTAAAATCAATGTTGCAGTTGTTTCCTAATGTTGCTGTTTTTTCCCAATGTGTAAGAAAAAAGCACTTCATTTGGGGAAAAAGCTACAAGTAAAATTTGTTATGATTATCCAAAATTTCCAACATTAATCATATTTTTGGTTATTGTTGTATGTATGTTTTTCTGTTTTCTATTTTATTCCTATTGATAAAACACAATAAATATATACATTAAAAAGATCATCCAAAATTTCTTCCCCTTAGATTGTTTACAAAGTATTGTGCTATGTGTGCCAAGTATCCTTAGTAATCAGATTGCTTTCTGATCTGAAACTAAAACACTTCCAACTTGTGGTCACTTAAACACATCAGTGAAGGAATGACTTTCATTTCCATGTCTAATTGTTTCAACTGCCAAACTACTTTTAGCTTTTAGACAGAAGCTGCCTTCTTGGAACACATCTAGCTTGCTCATCATGGCTGTAAGTCGTGACAGTTGTAAAACTATGGTACTGACTTTTTTGTGGTGGTTGTTAAGCAAATGCCACTGTTGCAAAGTGGCTGCTACAATAATTAAGCAAGTTAAGTGAACCAGTGGTTTGTTATGATACAGTTTTGCCATAAAACAGTAGTAAATGTCAGCTTTCAGCAAACTGTTATAATATGTGGTCATACGATTGTGGGATACTGCAAACAGTTGTAAAGGTGGCCCAGTTGCCAAGTGCTGAAGTTTAGTCATGTGACTCCCATTCAGGGCAATTGCTGAATCCGGGCCCTAAGTAGGTCCTTTATATCTTTGAATTGTTGCTAAAGGCAATCTGTAATGCGTATTAGTAGCAAAGCACAGAGTTACATTAACACATATTTTGTTTTTTATTATTTACTTCTAGATTTTCCTTATTACTCCTTAATCTGGAAGAATACTACTTTGAACAACATACAGCTAATTATATTTTAAAGAAAGATAGCAAGGGAATAAGGTATTACTCTTTTCATAAAAGGGAAAACACTAATATTGTACTGTTTCAAAATTCTGCAATAACTTTGTCTTCTAATACTTAGGAAAATTAAAGGATCATTTAAAATCTGCTCAAAATCAGTGATATTTGAACCTGATGAAATAAGCTATCCCATTATTAAGGTAAGTAGATGACTAAGTAATATCAAGAATTTTGGTTGGTTTTAACATCAAACTCGAATGATTTTTTTTTCTGTGAATTCACATAGATTCCTTTGAGAGATTGTATTAAAATTGAAGCACCAGAATATAGTGGGAATTATTCCTTTACAAGGTAAATGCTTTTAAAGATGT